TATATGAGCGTGTAAAGTGTTCTTTCTTTTTGTTACCATGAAAGAGTGCAACAAAACTGAAAACAACAACAGCAGCAAAAACAAAAACATCTACCGAGAATGTCGATGGACATGTGGTGCGTATGAAATACACTCAATTTAACATTACGTATTCACACAAACAAACAAATACAGTTTTTTTCCTGCATTCCTTGCTGAGCTGAGTGTTCGTGTGTGTGTGAGTTCTACAGTTCTTTTGCTGAGAATGACGGTGACATTGCACGAGTATTTACTTTGTGATTGCAACCCCAGTTATATATAACCAGAAACGTACTATATCCGTTCGTCAGTCTGTCCGTTCGACCAAGCATTCGACTTTATCAAACATGCAACCATCATTGCTAAAGATACTACCGCATTTGGCATCGTCATTTACATGGTGGCTGGGTGTGTGTGTTCGTTTGTATACACGCACATTCAAACACACACACACACACACATATATATATATATATATGTATACATACACACACATTCTTCTTGTTTGCATGTATAACAAAGATATACTCCTATTATGGCTTTTATGGTCGGTCTCACTTTGCAAAATTTCATACTCTTGATAGCGTACGTATGAGTATGCAGGGAAGTGTAAGTGTGTGTGGACATTGGAGTGGGGAGAACAATTAGTGTTTCGTCGTCAATAAATAAATGTTTATATTTCTTAAAAACCGTGGTGTTTTAAAGGACTTCTTCAGGTGAAAAGACAGAACATATACGTAAATAAACTAGACAAATTTGTATTCTTATAGTGTGGTTTAAACCTTGAATATACATAAAATGTGAATGACTCTTCCCGAAATAGGTCAGTAACATTTTAAGAGGCTAGTCGAAAAAAAAGTGGTATTTATTCCTTACTCAATATAAAACATCCTAGGGATTATAGAAAAGTATTATCAAAATTTCGAAATGACAAATTTATATAGTCTTGATGGTATGGAAAAATTTATATGAAATAAAACTTTTTTTGAAATGGCGTTGAAATTTTCTATGAAGTAACAATCGTGTTTATTACATAAAGTGATAGTCTAGATATCGACTATGACGGCTATCTCTTTATGTAACATTTCAAATCATTATATGTAATATTGCGACCTAAAAGTGGTATTTGTTTTTATGCCTTTTTAGGGCGGATCATCATGAAATGTTTTTTAAATTTTCTTTGCAGTAATGATCGGAGTTGCAATGAAAAGGAAAGCCAAGATACTACACTATGCGACGCTTTTCTCGTTGGCTAAGCGGCTCAACATTTCATATCATTATATGTATTACAAATGTCTTTACTTGATAAGTTGTATTTATGTCGGACATTTGGCATCACACCAGAACATTCCTTTTCAGAGCAGATTTTTCTTGTATTGACGGATTTTTTTTCTTGTCGCCAACATTCATTTCCATTAGAATCCTTGATTTTTTAGCATAAAGGTAACCAGTAGGGTCGCGCGTGTTGCATGTTTGTGTCGGTTGCACTGAATTGGAAAAAACCAATTTTCTTAGCGTATTTGCGTTCTCTCTACGTAAAATATCACTATGTACTTTAAATTTATGTATGGCTATGATCCGCCTTCTAAAGCATTGTGAAAAAAATTGGTTTATGAATTCATAATAATTCATAACTCGTTGAAGAAGCACTTCGATGCAATTGGCCGTATGATTCTTTGATATAACTGGTAATGTGGCAATTAAACGACGAAACGAAGGCAAACCAGCAAACATTTGGCAATGAATGAAGTTTGAATGAAATTGGTTACTCCAGATGATTCGAGAGTTATCGTGTCAGCCAGATGTGCGGATAGACATGGTACTTTGGATTATTAGAAACAGAAAATAAAAAGCAATAATTTCTGAGAAATAATTGGTGGTCCTTCGACAATTTTTTTTATAAATCTACGGGTTCTTTTTTTAAGTGATTAGTTATACTCTTTCGAGTCGAGTTTGATGATCTAAGTTTTGCAATGAAAAAGAAAGCCAGGAGAAGAATCTATGTACCCACCATTATGCGACGCGTTTTGCCGTTGGTTAAGCGGCTCTTCAGGCATATTGGGCTAGGTGGCTTTAAAAAGGTCGTACGTTGATAACTTGTATTTATTCCGCCCTGATGCGAAACTTGCATATGCGAATTAAATTCAAAGACAAAGCACGACATGTCTCTTTAGGAACAGTCCTTTTCAAAGCAGATTTTTTGTTGTAGCGATGGATAATTAATCCACGCACCTACAATTGCTTCCATGGTATACAAATGTTCAAGCTCGACTCGAAAGAGTATAAATAATCACTTAAAATTTTTTTATAAATCTACTGCCCTTCAAGGCAAAAAATCCTTAAAAACCTTTCCTCTTAAAACAATATTTCTCAAACTCACACCTTGGTATAGCTTTAAAATATATACTTGGAAAAAATATTATTTAGGGTTCCTTTTGCAAATCCATCTGTCTGACCATATATTTTTGAAAAAACAAAAAAATCAGTAAGGAAAGTATTAAAGTCGGACTGGGCCATATAGTCTGCCCATTCATGTTAATATCTACAATATCCTGTAGATAGAACGGTCATAGAATCTTTGGAGGGCCATTGAGGTGAAATCGGAAGAAATTAAATGTGCTATGAAAAATTGCATGTTAAAGGGCAGACTTGGATTCTTTGGTGTGCCATTTGTATGAAATCGAGTCAAATTATGTATGGGAGCTATATATAAACACATGGACCTAATTGAGTAACCGTTGCATACACCACTTGTTTTTTGTAATCACTATATTCAATTTAATACCCTCTGCACAAATTTCGTGTGACCACCATTCACAAAAAATCGGACGAAACTATATATGGAAGCTATATCTACATTTGAACCCATTTAAAAAAACTTCGCATACATTAGTCTGGACCTAAATCAGTACTCTGTGCAAAATTTAGTCCCAATCGGACAAATATTGGGAGTTTGGTGTATCATACACCAAAAATCGGTGAATGGTACACCAAAATCTGAACCGATTTTACAACATAAGCATGGACTTGATTCAGTGCGATGTGCAAACTTTTGTCTAAATCGGACAAATATTGGGAGTTTGGTGCATCATTTGCATAAAATCGGACGAAATATATATAGGTGGCATATATATCTAAATCTGAACCAATTTTCAAATTTAGATATATCTGTTAAAAACCCCTTATTACGAAATTATATATTGGGAAGGGGATCGGATCATTTAGCAAGTGTGGCTCTTTTCATGATTATCGGTTAATATTTAGCGTGTCAAATGAACCTGACGGCTATGTTAATTTCAAATTTCAGTATTCCTGCTCCATTCGTTTCCCCATATTCAAATTGCACCAAATTTAGTACCGTTTAGTACTTATCGTATACACAAGTACAAACTTCTAAAGCTATCTCCTTACATGGACCTACTTCTCCACATTAATTAACATTCCAAACATCAAGTTGTTAGCTCAATTCATTCACATGCTACGAAATTGTACCAAATTTAGTACATTTTAATGCTTTTCGAATATTTGTAGTTCAAATTTCCAAAATAAATATCATCAGTGATCCTCATTCAAAATTTAAGAGTTCTAGCTCTTTCGTTTTTTAGTAAATTTCGTGCCGTTTTAGGCATATTTCCAAAACCACACCTTCGGACCAAAATTTCAAGATTGTAGCTTCAGTAGTTTCGTATGAGCGTTGATGAATCCTTAAGTCAGTCAATCAATCACGTTATTTTTTAATAATATGGATAATTAAATAAAATATTATAATAATTGCATTCAATCATCCCAGTCTAATATACGGTGGATCGGTTCGGACATACTTGTTTGTGAAGCGTTAATTGCTTGTGGTATTTGAAGCAAATGTTGATGTTGTCATTGCATCGACATAAAGAGGGGAGAACGAACACAACTTATGAATACACCTCCACAATGCGTTGTCGTCTTTTGGTTTCTCGTGTGTGTATGTGTGTGTGCTGTTGTGTTAATTACAATGACATGAGAAACAACCACACACACAAATACTGGGTTGCACAAACAAATGCGTATATTTTTGTACACTAAATGAGAAAAACATTAACAACAACTAAAATTTGTAGTACCATGACTTAGATGGGGATTAGACAATATTACAGAAGTTCAAAGTTTGGTAAACAAAAAGGTAAAGAATAAAGTCTTTAAATACAGAGCAATTTGTTTTTAAATTTTACAACGATTTTGTTTGATTTTAAATCGTGAGCTCCTTTCATCTAAGCTCCTTTCAACGAATTTATTAAAAAAATTTAACTATCCTTGATTTAAGGTATTGACATTTTCAAAACGAGGCAAATGAGAAAATATTTATTCACTTCCTTAAGACGCTAAAGCCATCTCTTGTTATGTTCCGCAACTTCTTTATTATGGACTTAAACTGCTGTCAACTTTTGACAAAACACGAAACTAATTTTGTTTAAATTAGCTACAGCTTTGCCTTCTGTCCTTTACATTTTAATTGGTCATTACTCCTGAGACACATGGCGGCTTTGTTGGTAATATTCTATCATTTTATTTTTTCTAGCTTCCATAAAATCTAGAGCAAACAAAACAATATTTTGTTGTCTTACTTTTGAAATGATGGAAACGACTAACGAATATCTAACAACAAATCTATGGTTAGGTAGAAAGAAACCTGCAATATGCCTCAACTCGATGTTGGCAAGACACACAGCACGTGTTTGACTTTAGATGTTGAGATCTTTATTTTTCCACGTTTGCTTTCCCCCACCCTGATCCCCTTTTCTGTTTTCTTCTTTCGTAGTATTTCTTCTATGTGTGTGCTCCTGGGCTGCGAGAAAAGGTGACAGCTAAATACAGTTTGATGGCTGTTTTGTTGACTGAATGCCTGTTGGCTGCTTGGCAGGCTTGTTTGACTGCCAGGCTGGCAGTCTGGTGTGATGTGGTATAGTGTGTTGTGATGTGTTTTTGGTTTGAGTTGAGTTGCTTACCTGTTCGTTGTTTGTTTTGCGCGGATGTTTTTTAATGCCGCGTCTCGCACGCGCCTTGGCGGCAAAATAAATTCGTATATAAACGAAAACCATGATACAGCTGGGAATGTAGAAGGAACCCAATGCTGAATAGAGCACATATCCAATATCTTCACTAAGCTGTAACAACGAGAGAAAGAAAACAACAACACGAAAAATAACAATATTAAAATGCATGTCATAAATATGAAATGAAGTTTACATTAAAGTGAGTTATATTTTTCGATTTAGATACAGGGGAGTGGATTGGGAATTATGGGGGAAATAAGGAATTTGGATTTTAAGAATATATCTGCAAGAATTATTAGAGCTATGGGCTTAAGTTTTTTTTTTACAAAATACTTATTCCAGGACCATCAGAGCTGCAAGTGGGGATTTTGACACCAATTATTCAAGGACATTCAACACAATAGGACCATAGGCGATGATTTTTAATTTTTTTTAATATTTTTTAAAAAGTTTTGTTTAGGACCATAGGCATTTTTAAATAATTTTTTATTGATATATGATCGTGGATTTTCAGGATCATAGGCGTGAATTTTAAAAATAATATTTTTTTCATGCATTTTCAGGACCATAGGCATGACTTTTAAAATAATATTTTCTTCAAGGATTTTTAGGACCATATATTTTTAAAATAATATTTTCAAGGAATATCAGAGCCACAAACGGTTATCTTTTTAAGAATATTTTTACAAGGACTAACAGAGCTAAAAGCGTGGATTTTTAAAATAAATATTTTTTCAAGGACTATCAGAGCCACAAACGGTTATATTTTTTGTGGATTTTTTAAAGTATATTTTATCAAGGACTATTAGATTTATATGCCAGGATTTTTAAAATAATATTTTTTAAGGACTATCAGATGACCAAGCGTGGATTTTTAAAATAATATTTTTTCAAGGACTATCAGATGACCAAGCGTGGATTTTTAAAATAATATTTTTTCAAGGACTATCAGATGACCAAGCGTGGATTTTTAAAATAATATTTTTTCAAGGACTATCAGATGACCAAGCGTGGATTTTTAAAATAATATTTTTTCAAGGACTATCAGATGACCAAGCGTGGATTTTTAAAATAATATTTTTTCAAGGACTATGACCATGCGTGGAGGACTATCAGATGACCAAGCGTGGATTTTTAAAATAATATTTTTTCAAGGACTATCAGATGACCAAGCGTGGATTTTTAAAATAATATTTTTTCAAGGACTATCAGATGACCAAGCGTGGATTTTTAAAATAATATTTTTTCAAGGACTATCAGATGACCAAGCGTGGATTTTTAAAATAATATTTTTTCAAGGACTTGAATTTTAAAAACAATATTTTTTCAAGGACTTAAATTTTTAAAATTATATTTTCAAAGATATTTTGTTTAAAAATGAAACGAGTGGATTTTTCGTTTACATTTTTCAATGATATATTTTTTTCAGAACCAAACGCATATATTTTTGAGCCATTGATTGATCTGTATTGTTGATCTGTATGTACTACGAACGTATTTTTTAGAATATTTGTTTGAAGAATTGTCCGTGCTAAAAAAACTTTAGGAATGCTTTAAGGAATCATCGGGTCTAAAAGCGAAGGCATTTTAAGATGTGTTTTTGAAGAATATTTTGAAGGATCGTTAGGATCAAATGCAAGATTTTATTATTACTTTTTGAAGGACCATGATGGCAATAGGCGGATTTTTTTACATTATTTTTGAAAAAATCATCTGACCCAAAAATATTTTATTTTTTTTCTTATAATGTCTGCTAACCTCCCTCCTCATACAACGGTATATCTCATAGCAAAATGTTATGTGTATGCAACAAAATTAAATTTGTTGAGAAAATTTCCATTGGATTTTTTGAGTTTCTGTGTTAGCTTTTTTCAAGAATAAATCTAAACTAAGACTTGCAAAGACTTCCAGCGAATATTCTTACATGAATATTGTCTATAAATTGTGTTTTGCTTTTGCAACATAGACGAAAACTTTACACTACCATTAGAGATTGTAGTAGTAATGTGTATGCATGTGGGTGTGTGTATGTGTGATTGGTCGTTTTTTCGTTTATGCCTGGAAGGAATTGTTGCTTATCTTCCAAAAAACATTTTCCTAATACACCCAGAAAACGAGCAGATTTTATGTTCATGGGGGTGGGGGTGGGAAAGTAGACGAACAACAGCAAAAGAACAACATCGTTATGCTTTTTTGTACTGTGCCAAGTAGAGTAGTCAGTAAATATATGAGCTGTAGTTAATCTTGAAACATAATAAAAATTTTATAAGATTTGTGGATTTTATACTGTTTATATAGTGCAACAAGCAACGAGAAACACAACACGCATGCAGAGGACATCCATACCATTATGAATGCATACAACATGTATGCACTTCCTAGAGGTATATACTAAAGCTTTATACGACTTGATTTTTTATACGACAAATTGTTAAGGATTTTAAGTGGTATTAAAAACGAAACTGAAAATGTTATGGTTGTGCACAAAATTTTAATCGATGTTATTAAACTTGACAAATTAATGGCGAATGGGAGAAAATTTCAAAATTTTACTATGCAGAAAACTTTCATAAGCATGTTTTCAAGGATTTAGAAGCTGTTATTAATTATAATGGCCCCATACTGCTAAGTAAGTACAAGAGTAGGACTTGGATTTTTAGGAATATTCTAAGACGGATCTCTTTGTATGCTGCAAGAGCCGATTTTTAAAAAATATTTTGAGAATATATATATCATAACAAAAATTGATAATTTGTATGGATATTTTCAGAAGGCCTATCAGAGGTATAGGCATGGATTTTTTCCGAAGGACTCTCAGAGGTGTGGATTTAAGTGTTTTTTTCAGAAGAACTATCAAAGGTATAGGCTTGGAATTTTAAAAATATTTTCGGGAGGACTATCAGAGGTATAGGAGTGGATTTTTAAAGAATATGATCAGAAGGGCTATCAGAACAATAAACGTGGATTTAAAGGAATATTTTCCGAAGGACAGGATTTTTAAAAAATATTTTCTGAAGGTTATTTATAGCAGTATGCGTGATTTCTTTAAGAATATTTTCTGAAGGATATTCATAGCAGGAAGCGTGATTTTTATACCCTTCACCACACTGTGGTATGCATGTCCGTCTGTAGATGTTAAATTTTAAACAAAGTACAGGTCGCACTTTTGATGCGAATTGGATGAAATTTAGCACAGCTCACTTATTAGGTCCAAGGATGACCCCTATTGAAATTGGGAAAAATCGGTTCAGATTTAGATATAGCTCCCATATATATTTACGTCCGATGTGAGGTATATGGTGCACCAAACTCTCTATATATCTTTCGATTTGCACGAAATATTGCATAGAGTCCTGAATTGGGTCCAGAATGATGTGTGCTAAGTTTCGAGAAAGTCGGTTCAGATTTAGATATATATCTCCCGTATATATTTTCGTCCGATTTTATGAAATTTGGCATAGCGTAATGAATTAGGTCCAGAATGATGTGTGCGAAGTTTCGTAAAAATCGGTTCAGATTTAGATATAGCTCCCATATATATTTTCGTTCGATTTTATGTAAATGGTGCACCCAAGGTCCCTAAATATCATTCGATTTGCAAAAAATGCGACGTCTGTTAGGATACATATGTAGAATATACCAAAAGTGGTGAAGGGTATCATATAGTCGGCTCAATCCGACTTTACTACTTTCTTTACTGGTTTTAAAAATATTTTCTGTGGGATATTCAGAGCAATAAGCGTTCTTAGATTTGTTGATGTATTTCATTGCACTATTATATTCTACTACAATCTCAAAAAATTGAAATGTGGTGTGATTGCACAATTTCAATCAACGGAAAATGCCTTTACCAAAATGTATAGCATTAATGTATTCTCATCAAAGGACTTCACAACGTATGAGTGACTACCATTTCTCCTAATATCATCACGTATACGACACCAAATCCCTAATGTAGCAATTCCTTTTTTTGATAATCCAAAAAATTACATACATAATAAACATAAAACACTTATGTTAAAGGCATTACTGCTGCCATTATCCTTTCGATTTTTCTTGAGAAATCATATTTATTTTTCCTCGTTCGAATACTTTGCAACAATGCAAAATAACGGTAAATAAGAACACTGGATTTTATTTCACTCGCATCAATCCTCTTGTAATCCTTTTATCCTTCGTTTCACGATGATAGTTATTGTCAAATGCAATATACAATATAAATATACATGGGTATGGAGTGTGTGTGTATGTGTGCACTACAACTTAATGTGATTTAACTAGAATAGTTGTTGTTTCTGCTAGTGCTATTGCTTCTGTTGCCAGCCAGCAACATTGTCGTCATCGCCATTACAATTGTCGTTATTTTTGCTGCCTTTCTCACAATACAACGGCAGTGCATTTTGTACAGAAGCCAAAATAATAACAAACTAAAATCCGTTTTTAAAAAGGATACGAATTCACTGAGGCGATGTAAAGCCCCCCATCATCTTCATCTTTCTCTTTGGTTTTCTTGTTGTTGCAAGGAGGCAAGAACTAGAATTATAGCGACAATTTATCAACTAAACTTAGTATGTATGTTGTGTGTGTGTATGTGAGTTGATGCTCTCCCAGCTATGTAATGTGATTGTTAAAGAATATGGTTTGCCAAAATATTTTTCATCCTCAACTTTGGTTGTTATCTCTTTTGGAAAAGTCCTTGCATAAATTGCCACATAAACTCTTTGTTGGTGTTGTTTTATGTTCACTCACTCACTTACACACCCACTCACTTACTCAGCCAGTCACTCAGTATTGATGATGATGACAAGAACGATGTGTTCATTTGTCTTTGCCGTATTTTTGTTTTCCTTTTTTTATAGCCAAGAACTTTATTCGCGTTTCTGAGTTAACGAAATGGCAATAAATCGTCACATCACTTAGGTAAGTGAGTGTGTGTTTGTGTACCATAACGACAACGATGCCGTGTACATGGCTTAGTTTGATATATTGTCTACTATGGCATATCCTGATTTATCCCAATGTCATTTAAGTACAACAAATGGACACTTAAGGCTTCTTCAGCCTTGCGGTTTACTCCGTTCTCTCTGAACCATAAGGAGGCAGCAATGAAT